ATGTTATTTTGAGGGTTGTTAATTGTAGAAAGTCCCTATTAAAATATAATTGGTAAAGAGTTTTACATTCAAATAGGACTACAAAACTGACAACACTATGGCACATACAAAATCCTATTTTGAACTACAATAATGAAATCAAGATCACATTTAAAAAATACATGAGATAATGTTTGTATCTTTTGTAGATAGTTTCCCTGGTGAACGTCGAGTGCCTACTAAAACTTTTGATACTGTGTCTGAGGCTTACCAATTAATAATTAAATCTACGGAAGCCTTCTTTAGGTCTTAGAGATCTTTGATCTCGATTGATTGATGAGGTTCTACGTTAAGACACGGGATGTCGTTGATGTAAGATTCTTGGTTATAAAGGGGTTGAAACTCGACCCTATAGAGTTACAAATCATTAGTGCCATGTGGGTCGAAGCTCGATTCCAAACTGAAATGAATCTCGAATCCACATTGATATGAATCTTGATTCCAAATACATCAAAAAGTCGATTCCAAAGATGTTGGAATCGCGATTCCATACATGAAGGAATCTCGTTTCCATATTGTTCAATCCCAAACATAGTTACCGGAATCTCTCAACTGACCTTGCGATTCCGGTTCTGAAACCCGATTCTGCGTTTCTGTTAAGGAATCTCCATGGAAACCTTTTTTTGGAACCAAAGAAACTCGATTCTTTAATTTCGGAATCTCGATTCAACACATCTTTAGAAACCATTTTCGGAAGTTAGGAAACTCGATTCCGTAATTTCAGAATCTCGATTCTCGATTCAACACATCTTTAGAAACCATTTATCAGAACCAAGGAAACTTGATTCCTTAATTTCAGAATCCCTATCCAACGCATCGTTAGAAACTTGAACCCATTAATTGTGGGTCGACATTTCCAAATATTTCGAATCTGGATTCCAGCAAGGATTAAATCCTGATTCAGAAATAAATAAATTCAAATTATCAAAAAAAAAAAATACAAAGTACATAATGTCTAATGTCTGTGATGGTTGTGCACTTCCTAAAGCAAATTGGAATAGAAATCTTCCTTCGAATGCTTGTAGTGGTTCCAGTGTTTCATTATGTTACTTGTGCCACCCTAGACGGCGTTTACTTTAAATTTAAAATATAACCAGTAAATACAACACATACAATTAAAAGTAAACCATGGCGTAGACATAATCCTATTTTGTCTACATAACAATGAAATCAAAGTTACAATTTAGAAATACTGATCTTTTGTATATAATGACCGTAAGTTCAATAGTCAACCCAATCATTTTAAAATTTGGGAAGCCTTCTAATAAGAGACATCCAATATAGGTTCTAAAGTTGATGAGGCTCAAGATGTTCTTGGGGCTTCCTTCTCCATAAAAATGAAATCTTGATTCCTGGTAGGGGTCATCAAACGCATTCCATAGTCCATATTATTGTAAATCTCGATCTCAATCTGGCATGGATTTCTGATCCATATACTTCAGAAACTTGATTCCAAATATGTTAGAATCACAATTTGAAACAGCAACATATCTCTATTCCACATATGTCAGAAACTCGATTCCATAGATGTCAGAAACTTGATTCCACGTATGAAAAAATCTCAGCTCCTAGAGTGTCGATTCCAAGGGGATGGGAATATCGATTCCAAGGAGGATGGAATGTCGATTCCATATGGGGATGAAACTTGATTTATTTCGGTCGAAACACGATTCTTAAAAACTAGGGATCTCGTTCCCAATGATTCCTATTGTACGGACAATGATTCCTAAAAAAAGAATCTTCTAGCCGGCCACGTTTCTGTGATTCCGGTTCCTACAACGATTCGGGTTCCCATGCGTTTCCAACAACTATGATCCTAAATAGGTTAGAGACTCGATTCCAAAATGGTCGGAATCTCGATTCCATGTATGTAGATCTCAATTCCATTTGGGTCGAAACTTGATTCCTATAAAGTTGGAATTTTGTTTCTCGTGATTCCCCTCGTACAGACTTTGATTCAAAAAACTGGAATCTTCTAGCCAACTGCAATTATGCGATTACGATTCCTAAAACGATTCAGAATCTCATGTGTTCCCAACCCCTATGATCCATCCCATAATGAATGGGAAAGTGAGAACTTGATAGTGTTGACATGACTCTTTCATTCCATGCAGCCAAGTATCAACAGGGGGCTGTTGTTTCTTAAGATAGCAAAGGATGTATGGAAGGCAATAGCCAGAACATATTCATGATAAGATGATATGGCTAGGATTTACCAGTTGCATCATGAATTTTTCGAATTTGCAGCAAGGAGAAATGACTATAGAAGAGTATTTTGGGATATTAAGGCATAAGTGGCAAGAACTCGACCACTAAAGGGCTGTAACCCGGTGCTGGTCCTGCCTACGCAGGGTCCCAGGAGCGGTGAGATGGAAACGGTCCTAACCTTTGGCTTTTTATGCACCAAGTGACCGCTCTCAGGACACGAACCCGCTCTCTCGCGTTAGCTACCGGAGCCTTTCACTGTCACACCAAGTGACGGCCCCTTAGGAAGAACTCAACCACTACTAGCCTAATAATCCCATTGTTGATGACATTAAAAAACAGGTCGAGCAATGAAGGATCTTTGAGTTCTTAGTAGGCCTGGATCCTGACTTTGGACTTCAAAGAGTACAAGTTCTATGAAAGGACAAATTGCCCTCTGTTGAGTCAATATTTTATGTAAGAGGGGTGGCTAGTAAATAGGCTATTGCAGAAGAACAAACTCAAGCATCCATCCTGAATGGTCAGCCTTTGGAACGAGCTTCAAGCAAGGAAAAGTGTGTATGAAAGGACCAAATTGTGCAATTGTGGCCCACTTTCTCTTGCCGAAAAGCAGAAACTCAAATGCTCCCATTGTGGTAAGAGGTGACACACTTGGGTGTACTGTTGGGACTTGCATTCACACTTGAGGCTGAAAACCAAGGAATGCAAGTGCCCATGCTGTATCGAGCGAGGGGGAGGCAACCTCAGCCTCACAACCCAATGTATCCGATCTAAGAGATCAGGCCAAAGATTTACAGCACCACCAATTGACTGCTCTCAAGGCCTCACTCAGCTCTAAGACACCGGTAGAGCATCTAGGGGGACATGCAACTGCAAACCATTCCTCCAATGCCACCTCTTCTACACCTTGGATCTTTGATTCAAGGGCTACTGACCATATGACTGGTAAGAAAGTTGGTTTCTTGTCTATTTCTCTTGCTTCTAGTGAAGTTAAACTTGATGATGGATCCATGATCAGTGCTTCTTGAAGTGGGAACTGTAAACTTTCATAATCCTTGTACTTACCTGCTGTGATACATGTTCCTTCTTTCCTTCCAATCTTCTTTCTGTTAACAGCTTGACAACAATTAAACTGCAATATCACATTCCACCCCACACGTTGTGTTTTCAGGACCTGAAAATGAGGAAGACGATTGGTGGTGGTTGTGAAGAAAATAGGTTGTACCTGTTCAACACTCGATGCACTTCTACTGCTCTCAAATCTAAGTCTTAACGTCATAAGCAAGTCCTCTTGTGGCACCGGCTTAGGCCACATTTCTCTGAATTCTTTGTAGTTATTGTTTCCAGATAAGTTTGTTTCTTTGAATGTTCCTTATTTTCAGCGTGAGATTTATCATGTGTCTAACCGTCGTAGAAACTATTTTTCTTCTAGTGAGAAAAAAATTGTAAGCCATTCAATATTTCATAAAAAAGGTTCAGATCCAGTTTAAGACCCAAATAAAAATTTTCCATTCCAATAATGCACAGAGTATCTATAAAATGGATTAAAAACTTATTTTCTTGAACATGCTATAGAAACTCAAACATCGTGTTCCTATACATGACAATAGAATGATATGGAAAAAAGGAAAAATAGACACTTTTTTGAAGTGGTGAGAGGCATTTTAATAGGAATGAAGTTTCCTATGGCATATTGGGATGTAGCAGTTTTTACTGCTACATATATGATCAATAGAATGCCTACACCTGTTCTTAATGGTGCTTAGCCTTTCAAACTTCTGCACCATGCACTTACTTTTTTTTTCGTCCACCAAAAACCTTTGGTTGTGCCTGCTTTGTGCATTCCCTGGGCCAGCTAGAAATAAACTAGGACCTCAATCTACTAAACGCGTGAGCATACAAGTGTTACTGTCCAGAAACTAAAAGAAAATATGTATCGAAGGATGCTTCTTTCTTTGAGAATATACCCAAATTTTCTTCCCAAAGAGATTCAATATCCACTATGCTACTTGATAATCCTACTACTCTTCCAATGATCACAGATAGTTCCAATAATTCAGCCAAGGAACAGGTGGAATCTATTGAGAAACACCTGAATGTGTACACCCCAAAAAAGAACAAGGGAAAGTCTGATGTAAATAATCTGCCCCAACTCTTTGACTCGTCATATACTTCTTCTCCTTCTACCACTATACCTTCTCAACTCAATTTACCTATTACCGTGAGAAAAGAAGAAAGGGCTTGTACTTCTCATCCAATCAGTAAGTTTGGTGCTTAAGTGAGATTTCCCTCATGATTTGTTTTCATTAGTGTCGTTTCCATCGCTTATCTGAATAGATGAATGGTACTTTGTGTCTGTGGAATTCATTGGACAAAACATCATATGTTACATTCTCATTTGTCCTCCTCCTTTTTGGACATCCATATTTATAAGAATTTCTTTTGATGGTCTGGCATATTTTATGCAATATCTTTGTGGGATAACTCTTTCTTGCTGACACCTTAGTAACTTAGCTACAAGGATTTCTGAATGTCTTGCAAGGGCTGCTAGCCATCCCCATTTTGTTCTGAATGTCTTGAGCATTATGTATAATTTTTCCTTGCCATTTTTCTGCTTCCCCATTTTTCTTGTGCTGTGGTTTATGACACTTATTGTTGACATGATATATCATCTCTTAACTAATGTCGCATTCAGGAAGATTTGGAGTTTTACTTTAAAATGTATTGGAGTTTGTAACTTTTAATGATTTCTGCAGGAAGAGGACTATGCTCATGATATTCCTACTACTGTTCACAGAAGCAAAGCTGATTGTCCTGTACCACAGGTTTGTGTTTTCCCAATTTGTTTAGGTCCTTTGTGTTGTCATCATGAAACCACGAAACCAACATGAGGATATGCTATGCAGGAAATGGTCACTGTAAGTGTTGATGGATCTGTACTTGATCGAATTGCTAAAATTATGTCATACCTTCGGCTGGGTTCATCTGGGAAGGTTTTAAAGAAAAAGAAAAAAGATCGGAGCGAAGTAAAAGGTGCGTAGCGTACTTATCAAAAATAAAATTGAACGGATCTTATGGTGGACCCGTACATGGAGCTAGGTTGGTGTGTTGAGCTATATACTCATAATATAATGGTTTGCAAATCACTTGTGGATGGTTCTAGTTTCTTGACTTAGTAGTCGGATTTAACTTTCCAGTTGTAGTCTCGTCCATAATTTAAAGACGTATAACAGCCTTTTTTTTTTATATGTCAGTTGTTATACTTTTGATTCAGCTGAAAATCGGCCATGTTTCCATCTGAAACAAAGGAATTTTGAGACTTGGTTTTGTGGCCTCTTTTTTAAATTGATAAAAAAATAATTTTTAAATCTGGAAAGGGAAGTGTTTTGAAATTTCTTTATCTTTAAATTTGCCTTTATCCTTAAATAAAGAAAAAGCATTTCTAAATTGAGAAAAAAATAACTTGGTTTATTTTCATTGTAGAAACCATTTTGAAGTTTGAATTTTAAAGCCTTAAGTCTTGTTATTTTGTTCTTGATGATGCCAACAATGAATCATGAAGTTTGAGAAATTGAAAATTGCATGCTTCTTAGTAGGGGAAATGGATCCTAACTACTGTTTTGGGAATTAGGTTGCATACTCCATAGTGGACATGGTATTGAAATATGAAACATTAGGAAACTAATATTCATGAATCGATGGAACATTAAGAAACTAATATTCCGTTTGGAAATGCTTTCATGCAGGTTTATCATGCATGATGCGTTAAATTTTGTTGGTGATTAACACTTTATGGTATGTGATGCATAATCCACTACCAATATAATGTAAAATGCCCCTAAGCTTTATTTTACATATCTAGAAAGGGGTCAGGACTGTACTTGAAAAGAGGCAATCTTGCACCATGTGTTAGCCATTATGTCAAAAAGGCAACCCCTAATAAGTAAAAGAGCATGGATCGGCCCCACAAAATAACTATTAAGAAACAAACATGTATGAACTGCTTCCTGGGAATATGTTACCTATGTGACAGTAAAAAATGAAAAAATAAAAAGGTGTTTTCAGTGAAACGCCTCATCATGGAAGATCATTTTATGCACATCTAATTTCCGGAACACCTTCCCACCAAAATGGAACACATACACCCACCGACCCATCCCAACCCGCTCCATACTGCAAAAGCACAAAAAACATTCACTTCCTTCATGAAAAGAGTTAGAAGTACTGCAAACTAATATATAAGAGATGAAAGAGTATAAGAGAAATTAAGATCTAGGAAGAGAGAGAAAGTTAGAAAGATAGGTGACAGAGAGAGTGTCCCATGAAGAAGAAGAGGATGGTTTAGTCGTACTATCTCCCATGCCATACTTATGTTCTTTTATACTAATAATAAAAGGTCTAAAGCACAAATCTGCCCATGAGTAAGGGAAAAGACAAATAAGACTTGAATACAAGAAGAAATAAATGTAAACTTAGGTATTCACAACAAAAAACTTCTCGTTTTCTCATTTTAAAGGCTTATTTATCTCGTTGATGCTATCCGCAATGCAATTATTGGCTCGATTACATGATGGTGATTTTCCCAGCTGACAAATGAATTTACGGATACAGAGATTGTAAATTTGACTTTTGAATAGTGACAGTGAAAATTAATACAGCCCTCTGTTGAATTGACAGATTTTCTTTCAGAAAAAAGAAGCAAAGATAATCAAGAAACCACAAGATTTGCGTTTTGTTCTACAAATTTGAGATGTGGCTTCTATTTACTCTTTATTTAGGGTTGCATGTGCTTCATTTTCTTGAATCATGACTAGTTCTGTCTGTATGTCAAGAACATTGCTTTTATATTCTTTTCCTGAGAAGTATGTGATTATTCTCCATAGGGAAGATTTCTGCTGTTGGCCATGAGGATGATGAAGATGAGAAAGCATTGCGACCTGCTGATGGCATTGCAAAACATCAAGTTTACAAAGAGATGGGTGTCCCTCAACCTTCAAATGGAAATCATCGCGATGAAAAGAATAAACAGGGAAACCCTGTGAATAGAGCTGGTGCAGATGACATATTTGTGGGGGATGGCACGGATTATACTGTCGGTGCTAAAGATTTAAGCCAGAGTCCCATTTCCGAAGACATGGAAGAGTCTCCTCGTAACAGGGAAAGACCATCCTATTTCAGCGACCCTGTTTATGGCCCTGCGCCACCAACTGAGCTGGTCCCTGATTGGCAACAAACAGTGAGTTGTTATATCTATTTGTGGGAAAGTAAACTATGATTCCATGTCCATTTGGTTATTACCATCCAATCAATGGTTGAATATTGATGAAGAGAGATTGAGACCCAGTGGTGTCATGTCATGTTCTGATGCATCCCACACTTTCTCCTTCACTGTCCATTCATTGATTAGGTGGTTATGACCCAAAAGCCAAAACCTCTCCTGAGTTTTCAAAGTAAGCTCTTTAGAATTGACTGTTATCATAAAAATTTCTGAATTTATTTTAAGCATCTACAATTTATTCTGAAGAAACGTTTTTATTTTTATTTTTTTCCAAATGTGTTTGTGGGATATGCTAAAAATGCTTTCGTTATAAACCAGATGCTCATGGAATCCACAATGACTGTGAATCATGTATCTTTTGTGGTTTTGATTGAAAGTTAACATCATAATTTTTGCAAGAGATGTGGCTTGTTTGTGACTCATCATCATTCATCTTCCTAGGACGAAAGAATATCTCTCCTTTTGCAGTGTTTTCTCATACATTAAATTGAACTTGTATGAACAGTCATTGTTTGAAGTATATGCTAAAAATGCTTTCGTTATAAACCAGATGCTCATGGAATCCACAATGACTGTGAATCATGTATTTTTGTGGTTTGATTGAAAGTTGACATCATAATTTTTGCAAGAGATGTGGCTTATTTGTGACTTATCATCATTCATCTTCCTAGGACGCAAGAATTTCTCTCTCCTTTTGCAGTGTTTTTCATACATTAAATTGAACTTGTATGAACAGTCATTGTTTGAAGTCATTTTAATTGAAACAACTGTACTAGTGGTGTTTTTTGTGTTTTCAAGTAGACCTTGTTCTCCTAAACTGCTAATAATTTTTATGTGCCTCTTTCCTATTGTGCAGTAATATTTCCTGTGCTTCATTCTGGCATTACCAGTTTTACTCCAAAAACTCCTACAAGTTGTTACCTAAGGCATTTCAAGTCTTTGTCATTCATTTATCTATTTGCAAAAGTCCCTAAGTATCCCTAATGATTTGGGAATACATTTATATGCATCATCATCATCATCATCCAAGTCTTATCCCACTTATTTGGGGTTGGCTACATAAATCATGTTCCTTCATTTTTCACTATCAAGGGCCATACCCTCAATAAGATCAAAAGTCACCAGATTTTTTTTACTACTTCTATTCATGCTCTTACGGACCTTCCCCTTTCTCTTTTTGAGCCTTCCACTTGAATCAAATCGTACCTCCTAACCAGCTGTATTAGGTCGATTTTGCACATTGCCAGCCCACTTTAAGTCTACTTTTCCTCATCTTATCGGCTATTGAAGCCACATCAAGTTCCCTTGTATGTAGAATACGTTTATAAGTCTATTGTTCGTAAATAACTTATTTCAAATTGTATGACATTTTTTAGCCACCTCAAGTTCCAATTTATTTGAAATCATTGTGGGGCATGTGATTTCAATCTTTTTACTTTTTCATGGTTTATATTTTTCTTGCAACATACTTGTTAGAAGCTACCTTCTGATAAAATCTTACTGCTCCGATTGTGTTTATTAGAGTTAGCATCAAGTATTAAAAATAACATTGGTTATGTTATCTGCAGAATGGATATGATACTGTGCATGGACCTGTAATGCCTACTACCTACCAAGGAGAATGGCAAGATTATCAATATGCTGAGCAGATGGCCTATCCCGATCAATACATCCAGCATAATGTGAATGATTATGAGCCAGAGGCAGGTGTAACTGTGCCGCTGGATCCTCGATTTATGACCCAAGAAGACAAGGATCGGGGTTTAGGATCGGTCTTCAAGCGTGATGACCAGAGGCTTCAGCAGCTGAGGGAGAAGGATGCCCGAGAGAAGGATCCAAATTTTATTTCTGAAAGTTACTCTGAGTGTTATCCTGGATATCAGGAATATAACCGTGAGGTTGTCTTCAGTGACGACGAAGATGATTTGTCTAAAATGGATATGGGTGGGCGGGTAAGACATCTGATTTCCTGTGCTTTTACAGTTATCTCACAGCATACACATGCAAGTTGTTTGAATGCTGGATATTATTTAGGGAATGTTAACAGAAGTGTTGCATGAATAGGGTGTATATTGTAGCTTGATCTAAGCTTATTGAGTTCTATATTTCTTTCTATAGTGTTTTTCTATATACTTATGAAATATTTCTTGATTAGTTTCTGGACTTATTTTTGTTGATATTAGCCTTTCAAATTTCATTAATGATAATCTAACTGTTTGTACAAAATAAGCTTAACCCATTTCTTTAGCCAAGTGGCAATTGTGTTTACCAACGTCAATACAGAGTCAATTCATTAGAGGAAGTTCGATTATGGATAAGAAAACAAGAACAGTGCGGCAATGTACAAGATCTTCATTCAAAAAAAACAAAAAGTCAGTAAATCCAAAACAAGTGTTGCAATCTTAGGGCAGTGAAATGGAACACGCAACTTCCAGTTTCCTTTAGATCCCCCATATGTGGCGAGAGTATTGGCCTGCACATTTGCATTGGTGCGTTGTAGAGAAAAGCTTCCAACTGCTCTCGTTCCCAGAGAAGTGTCACTGTTATCATCCCATTAGAACTGGCACCAAGATCTGCATTTCTGACAAAAGCTTCCAACTGCTTTCATTCCTAGAGAACTGTCACTAGTAGCATCCCATTAGAACTGGCACCAACATCTACATTTCTGAATATGTACCTGAAAATATATAGGAATAAGCTTCAAATTGGTCTATCAAAATAGCAGGCATAGTTGTGATGGGGTTTCATTGTCTTTGCTTCTGTAGTCAAATGTATACATAAAGAAGCTAGTTACAATGATTTTTGAAGGTGAAATCTATCTATCCCAAAGTAAGCATCGTTGGGTTTTTATGTCCAAGGTGACCTCCCTTTAAATGCACGTAGTAAAGCAGCATAGGACTAGATTCAGAACCTCATTATCCTGTCCCACTTTGATATCCTTTCATAAAAACCAAGTTTTGTTAAAAAAGAGGGGGAAACCCACCCAACTTATCAAAAACAATGCTTACCAGAAAACTCTGCCTTGGATGATTTGCAGGATGAGGGATCTGGCATGAATCATCACATCCCAACACATCATTCGAGACCAAGAACTCATGCTTTCATCAGCCTCAGCCTTATACCTATTGGTTTAGCGCCTATTACTTTGGTAGAACTGGTAGCTGGAAAAGAGAGTTATTTGAACTGAAAACCTATTTATGTTTAATTGCACTTATATTATGACAAAATCCGCAAGCTTGTTTTCTTGTATCTGCTGAAACTTCGTACTTCTTTAATATGCACGAAATACAGAAACTTAAAAGATTGAAAATTATAGAAAATAAAAAACCTACGGTGGAAATATGTGTCCTAGGAGTAGATGGAGTGGGTGATTGTTCCCAAATGATTGAACCTCTGTATGCATTTGCTGCATTGCTAGGGAATCAGCATCCTTATTTATGTCCTTCATAAGAATATACTGAAAGAATATTGACACTAGTAGCCAACATCATGAATCTCTCTAGTGAGACCACTATCCTCTATGGTTAGCCTCCTCTGAATTGGATGACTCTGTCATGTTCAGCTTGTCTGCCTTCTCCCTTAGAGCCTCGATTTACTTCACTGAAACTCCTGGGCTTGTAATTTGGCCTCTTGCTTCAGCTTACTGTAACTGCAAACTTCAAAACTTGTTTCCTTGCTAACTACTGAACCCTTAAACTTGATGAATTGATTCTTGGACCTGCTTACAAGCCCCAAGAAATAAGGACATAAAATTACCAAGATAATGAATAATTAATAAATGTTCCATGACATGATTTTATGTCTGTTCTAATATGTGGTATGACAGGCCAAGGGTCGGCTTCATCGGTGGGACTTCGAGACAGAAGAAGAATGGGCGACTTACAATGAGCAAAAGGAAGCAATGCCCAAGGCTGCTTTTCAATTTGGCGTGAAGATGCAAGATGGGCGCAAGACTAGAAAGCAGAACAAAGACCAGAAGCTTACCAATGAGCTTCATAAGATCAACAAGATCCTTGCTCGGAAGAAGGCCGAGAAGGGAGAGACCTTTGATGATGGTGGGCAGTATGATGATGATGCACAACCAGGGAAGAAGCTTCGGATATGATGCCCTCCATTAATTAATTTCTCAGCCTTAAGGTCACACTCCCAATTTTGTTGTTCATTTTACGATGCATCATTTGTTTTTTTGTTGATCATTAAAATATCTAATGGTATAAAAACACATATGAGAAGGCATAAGGCATAGAGTACCATTAAAGCATACCATGCACATCTTGTGCATGTCTCAGTTTTAAAAATTCGGCTGCTTAGTCGCCTAACCAGTCTTGGTGGGCCATTGAACTGAATAGGCCCAGGAGGGCGCTCTAGGTGGCCATGTGCCTAGACACCTGCCTTCTGCCCTACACGCCAGCCTAGGCGGGCGCTAGTGCCATCCCGTTCCTTAAAAAAAATAGACACAAGCCCCCTTTAACAAAAATTAAAGTCCTTAAAAAAAAGTATGTAAGCCCCTTAAAAAGTGCTGGTCTGGGTGTTTTGACATAGAAGTTTGGTCAAAAATTTGAAATAGCTCCGAAATTTCACAAGTCTAATTCTTGAAGGCCAAAATTTGATCAGACATCCAATTTTGATTTCGTCCCCCAGCTAAAGCATTCCAACAATATGTAGGACTTGAAGTTCGGGGTGGGATTAAGGAGAGAGGTGGTCTTCAAAACTATCTGACTATAATGGCTCTTCAGTGAAGCATTCTGATCCTCTCAAGGCGACATGATTACTGCTAGCCTTATTGTAATATTGGGGGTCCCATGCCCTCATCTGCAAGCTCATGAAGAAAACCAAGTTCTAGTTTTTGTACCTTCGCATCAAATTTTTGAACAGCTGTTGAGGTGGAAAAGTCTCCATGAAACTTATTTACGAGCAAATTCATAATATATATTTATGTTAAATTGCTCTCTCTCTCTCTCTCTCTCTCTCTCTCTCTCTCTCT